AAAATTTTAGTAGGGTACGTTTGGTTCCAACCGTATTGCCACTTCGTTTCCTTAAGAACCTCCCCGACATCGATACCTTACCCCCCCCCCCGCAGATTTTACTAGTGGAGCTAGGGAGTTTCCAGTCACTGGGGTGGTGGACAGGGGCTTTTCCTTCAGAGTGTTACAGTGAATTTCTCCATTCTTGGAGAGAAGGGCAAAGTTGGGGGCCTTCCTACTTGGGTCCCTGGATGTTTTTTGCTAGATATTGGTAGGAGCAAAGCCAGCCTACGTGGGAGTCCATCATAATACTGGTTCAGATTTGATGCATGGCTATCCCTTCTTTTTGATCAATATCTGTTCAGTATATTGTGTATGAAAGGAGGTCCACTGTCTCCTCATAGTTCTGGACGAGGAGTGGTCTCATCCTGGGTCCTTGGTTGAGCACAATTGTTGCACGTCCTCCCCATAATTCTGGGAGCAAGTGGGAGGCTCCTTGCCCACTTGGTTAGGGAGAGAAGATGAATGTTCGTAATTCAAGGCCGGATGAGTTCTGTTCCTTTGTTAGAGTATGGCATACACAATCTCATCATCCCAAGCCTGGGGTGTTGCTTTTTGAGCTTATTCAGTTGGAGGAAAAGGTTTGCCTGCTTCAGTGTTTCTTACTTTCTCGTCATGATTCCGGTGGTTCAGAATGCAACACTTTATGACTACAGGTTGAGATCCAATCAAAAGTACATCTATATATTATGTTGTGAACCAATTGCCCTACCCCATAATATTGGATATGGTGACCAAAACCCCTTATTTCCAACCCCAAGTAGTGGAACCTCGGGTGTCTAGTTGGAGCTGGCCTATAGTGATGATTACTCATGTACAGTTCCACCCTTGATACAGGAACTAAATTCAGGGTGAAGAACATACCTGTTCTGGATGTAGTGCGGTTCTCCCACTTGGGTACCACTCTTATTTTGATACACCCATCATCTGTGTAGACGCTTTCTCACCTGCCCTGCCATCTTCTCAGTGTGGGATTCTAGCCATAAGTGGGAGTGGATGTATGTATGTTTTGGAAGTTAACATTTTCCTTAATTGAAAATGTATTTCCCATCATACTTACTTCCTCTCACACTTTCCAACTCTTCCTCCCCATTAAGAGCTGGTGTTAGAGACTGGGATTGAGTCAGTCTTGAAAAAGTGATAAAACTATCTGAATGAGGTGCTTATGTACAGTGATGGGATGGAAGGTGCATTGACATAGGTGGAGAGTATCACAAGACAAATATTGCCAAGGACAGTTGAGTAGGGGTATGAAAGACTGGAGCAAGCAAGAAAAAATCAGAACAATGCTTGGATGGGCAAAGATGAAACCCTAGCAGTTGAATAATAGCTACAAGTGTGAGAGGAGGTGAGGTAAGTATGATTGGAAGTACTTGACATAGGTGGAGAGTATCACAAGACAAATATTGCCAAGGACAGTTGAGTAGGGGTATGAAAGACTGGAGCAAGCAAGAAAAAATCAGAACAATGCTTGGATGGGCAAAGATGAAACCCTAGCAGTTGAATAATAGCTACAAGTGTGAGAGGAGGTGAGGTAAGTATGATTGGAAATACATTTTCAATTTCAGAAAATGTTAACTTTTATCCACTGACTTACCTACAGTTTGGTTATAGAGTGGAATCAAAGCTTGTAAAGTAAGTTGTTTGAAAAGTTATACTTTGGATATTTTAAGTACTTCAATAATTATACTGAAGTGTTGTTATTTTATATTGTTAGTGCAGTAGCTATATTAAAAATAATTAAGCATTTTAAGTATGTTTACTTACATTGGCTTTACTTTCAGATCTCATTAAAAGGAGTCTCATTTGATGATGTTTTTCCAATCAATTTACAAAACATCCTGAAATTAGGTGCCAAGATTAATTGAATGGTATCGTTAACTCTTAAAATATACCAGTGTCAGTGCAACAATATTTTTAAGTTGTGATAAATACTGAGGCATATTTTATTATGTATTTTAAATCTTTCTCCGTCCTTTATTATTACACATGCGTCCATCTATTTAACTTCTCATTTTATAAAGGAATTTATTAAAGTGTGATGCAGGTTCTAGAGGTTGTAGTCACAGTGCTGCATTGAGTTGTTTTAACCTACATAAAGATTACTTTTGATAGTAATGTTAATATGTATGTCATATCAATTGCCTATATAGTATATAATAATTATAACCACCCTAATTTTGTTGTTTTTTATGCCTTTAAAGCTTCAGTAATACAGACATTATCATTTAGTTTTATAAACAGTGTTTGTTGTTGTACAGAATTTTTCTTTCTTTTTTACTAGTAATGAAATAAGCCTGGTATAAGTTAGGACTGACATGTGGACTAACGTGTTTGTTGTATAAAATTTGGTATGGATACTTTTTTGTATTGTCACATACATGAAAAAGACTAACATTTTAAATAAAATATATTTGTACCTTTCATATGAAATTGTTCATTTACTCCTATATTTTAGTTTTTTTTTCACGTGTATTTCAATCTCTTTAAGCTGTTGATACACTGTACAATCCATGAGCTCAGCCTATCAGTATATCACGTTTTAACTCTCAAAAAAAGTACATCTTTATTTATCTAAATCCTACATTAAGCTAGTTTATCAGTGAATAATTTTAGGCACCTTCTGCTAGAGATGATCCATATGGCCTGGTAGGAGTCACTAAGGATTAGGTAAGCCTTCTTTTATTTATAACTGCTGAGTAAGTTCTTGACTGTAATCCTCATAACATTACAGAACTGTGCTAACAACAGTAGGTATAGCCAAGAAAGACCAAAGGGAAGTCTCCTAAGTTGTCTTCTCCATGGGAAGGCCCATATGACATAGTGGATCGTATCTCAGACGTGACTTTCCGAATAAAATCTGGTTGGTGAGGTAAGCCAAAGGTGGTGCATGCCAACAGGCTTTGGCATTATCACGGTCCAGGTCATTTCAGTTGGAACAAAGTGAACAACGGAACAAATGACGCTGCTGAAGACGCGTCACCTGAAAAAGCCACTGTTGAAGAAGAAACTCTACCTGGTTTTGATAAGGAATACAGTGAAGCCGTTAATGAAGTTACTATCACTGACTGCTACCGATAATGGGACATTTTCTGATGGAGCAGATGAACCCCACATGAAGCAAAAGCCAATGAGATGGAGACCAGTACGAAAGAAGAAACGTCCTGTAAAATTAAGAGACTTTCTTTGTATTTTAATTTTGTGTTTGTAAATTCTGTACATTTAATTAAGTTATTGTTAATTATATATTGGTTTAATGTAAGTGACTATTGTTCGTCCCGAACAATACTAAGGGGCAGTGTTACGACAGCGGAAGTCGCGTGACGCTGGGAGCATGCGCGATAAAATTTCTCGAATGATCATGAAGGCCCGAGTGCATTCGATACGCCCTCTTTTTAGTATATAAGCCTGGCGAGAAAAACCAGTGGAATTGAAGAGAGATAATTGAGACAAGCGAACAGTAGGCACCGTAAGTAAAGTGTGTGAATCACTGTGATTTATAGC